GTAACGTTTTACTGCTAAAACGTTACTTTAGGAGTAAAACGTTACTGTTAGTAACGTATATCAATCTGACGCCATCAACTTTTAAAAAATAAAATATATCCTAAAACGTTACTGTGGAATACGTTTATACTAGTTTTGTAAAATTTTAGAAAAACATATTAATTTGGTGAATGACTTTATATAATGGCTTAGATTGGTTAAACAGCAACATAAGGAGGGTGAGAAGTTGGGGCCTGGGTATCTGATGCAGTGAAGATGTGACTGCATCTCCCTATCGCATCTAGAAATAGTCTACCTAGGAAAAACTCCTGAAATGGAGTTTATATTATTGTGATCTCCAAAATTTAATACGTCCAAATTACATCTTGCAATGAAGTATAAACCAATGAGTGTTTAAATATAAAACCCAAAACATTGGAAACGAATCACATAGAGAATATTACCACATCAAAATTGAGCTTTAACGATAATTAATTAGCAATCGTCACTAAATATGTATTTTTAGCAGCAATTAACACTCTTTGTATATGTCCCTAAAGGTTTATCGACATTGGATCTATTGGCATTTAACTAATGCCGATAAAGACTTTAGCACTCTTTATTAATGTGTCTATTTATTACCGCTAAAATTTATTTTTATTTTAATGTTCACTTATACGTGTAACCAAAATGAATAGTTTGTATTTCTTAAGTCTTTGCAAAAAAGTTAAATATTAAAATATTTGAGTTGTATTAGGCTTGAATTAGAAACTTGTTTGTGATCAATAAGAATGTGAAACTAAGGTTGTAGACTCAAGTTCTGAGTTGTAACAATAATCTAGATCCTTTCATGAACTTTAGTTAAGTAACCTTTGAGTAAAATAACTAATTTCTATTAATTATTATACCTAGTCTTTCTGATCATTCTAGAAGATATTACCCTAAGTCCTCACCAACACTTGAGTGTAGTATTAATAATTTATAACTCAGGTCTCAAATTCTTAGATAGAACATACATTCTAAATCCTCGTGCTTAATTATTTTTCTCATTTGAACTTTTTTTCCAATCAAGTAAAGAATACAAATAGGTTCTAATGCATGCCTTCATTGAAATTCATACAAAATTAAAAAGAAACTAACTATACGGTGAGAATTACCGTGTAGAATATCTAACTACACAATTATATCATTATTATTACTCTCTCTGTAGAACTCCACGACTCTAGCTATGAGTTTAGTTATCTATTGAAAGTGCAGCCACTAAATGATAAATAAAAGAAAGCATGTTATTAAAAAACAAGAACACAAATCAAGAATAAAAAAGGTTAGGTATATTACTCACAATAAACGAACGAATTCACATAGATGAATTTTTCAACTACCATTCTACCTTGAGTTGTGATCTATGAAGTGGTGTTGCGGCATTGCATGTGGCCGTGCCACCGCATTACTCCTCCGCATAAGAATCTATTTTCGACGATGAGCTATTTGCTTACTTGCAACTCCGTTTTACACTTTTATGACTTGTTTCACTCCAAAGCATCTGTAAATTACAAAACCGTGGCTTTTCTGGTTAAAACGCCATATTGTCACATAATTTCAGTTGAGAATGTGCAATAATAACATCTTATGAGCCATATAAGTAGGTAGATTGTCCAATTATCAATGTTTAAGATCAAATAATTAAAGCACACATTGGTACATTATATATGGTTTAAATTTAGGACTATAAGATTCAAAAGTTTTTTTCGTTTTCTTGAGTTCCATGTCATGTTAAAATTTGACAAACAAATTAAAACAGAGAGAGTAATAATAATAGTGTCATATAATATAGATAAAATAGTACCCTCTCTTGGTCCATTTTAGTAATTATGGAAACTAAAAAAATATTTCAAAATATTTATTATTTTAGAAAATTGAGATATAACAACATTTTCTTTTCACTTTTATCCCTGCTTTAATAAATATGAAGATAGATTAATGCAAAAAATATATATATTTGGACAACTATTTTGTTAAATTTATATCAAATTCAGATTATATTAAATTTAAGATATGTTAGTCCAAATAAATAATATTAGCTATTGTTTTTGGATCAATTTCTTAAGTCTAATAAGTACAAATTTAATCAAAGTCAAATTTCATTGAGCTAATCCATCAAATTGGATTACAAATTATGAACCACTTTGTCAAACCCAAAATGTCATCTTACTCTAGGGCTCAATTCGGTGTCACATGTCAAATGATATGGCATGACAAGTCAATGAAAAAGTCGGTACAATCTATCACATGTCAAAATGACATGACATGGTTAGTCAAATCATATGTCAATAAAAATGTGTCAAATGTATACAAGTGACAGATTTCGACCAATCAAATGTCGTTATCTCACTTAAATCTGATTTGCGGAAAAAACATGTTTCCTCACAACTCTTCTATTCTACAACTTTCAATAAGTGTCCTCATAATTGAGAAAATACACTAGAATTCTAACAAGAAGCCAGAGATAGTTTGTGGATCAACTATACATATTTCACAACAAGATACGAGCTACAAGTTCAAGCTTCAAACATTAGTCAATATCCAGTTTATCAACATTCAAAATCAAGTTCAAAGACCTTTGAATTCAAAGAAAAGTGAGGATCAAGACTATGCAAAGACCTGCGAATTCAAATACAAACCAAACACAAGTCCATTAAATTCAAGAACAAGACAAAAGATCCTTGAATTTATATTCGAAAAAAGAATCGGAGAATTTATAAAATACTACATTTGTTGCAATATTTTTCAGTCTTGATTATTACTTTCTCAACGAGATTTTATTATCTATAATATTAATTGAGCAAATCACAAATTTAAATAATTTAGTAAAATTATCCTTTTAATCAATGCATGACAAGTAAAATAAAGGAAAAATTACTTATATACCTATCTTTATTTTTCATAGTTTTCATTATTCTCTACCATTTTGAAATCATTCCAAAATTCCTTATTTTATTCCCAAAACTAAATTTCAGATACATAATCTTACACTACCAAAATAGTTTCTCTTCCTTAATGTTCTCCATTTTTTCCTCCCTATTTTCACTCCCACAATCTTATTAGTTAATTCTTTTCTTACAATTCAATTTCAACTTCTTGAATAGGTAATTTTCGTCTTCCTTGTTTCAATCAATTCATCCTTGTTTTTTTTTGTTTTTCTTTATCAATTTACTAATACTTATGGATGATGATTCTTCTTTTAGTATTAGGATTACCCGATTTGTTTGAACTACTCAAGATATTGTATGTTGTGTCTTTGATTATAAAAATGAAGATTTTGTTGAGAATAAATCTAAAGAAAGAAATGATTCATTATTCATTAAGAATTTTGAGTTGGAGAATACAAAATTTAATAAGGATGCATTTCACGCTTATCTTTTCCAAAGTTAAAAATTCTCAATGTATCTTGTTTAAAAGTTACAAATTCTCAATGTATCTTGTTTATTTTAATTTTAAATTAGCCTTTGTTAATGGTATGAAATTTTTGATACATCAATGTTATGTTTTATGCTATGTATCATGTACATATTCATTACATTGATACATAATCCTAATATTGTTAAATATTTGACTAATAGGTTTCATGTTCAATACTTATGTACTTGATACATAAGTAATGTCTAATGCATCATTTACAATATATCAAGTTTTGTAGTATATATGCAATATTTTTTCATTTTAAAAGGATATAGATAGAAATAAATCAATTTTTTGTTGTGTATCAAGATTACCCAAAAATGATCTTGGTACATAAATCATAATGTACTATAACTGATACATAGTAATGATTAATGTGTATCACACATATCTAATACACATTAACAGTCTTGATACATTTATACAAATTACTAGTAAATACTCGTTCTTGGGCAATGATATTTTTATACAAACTAACACTACATGTATGTGATAGTTAATATCTATCAGACAATAATGCTTCAATATAAAGCCAAACACTTTACAAGCAATATTTACTTCTCTATTGTATCTATAGGATTGCAGTACTTAGCAATATTCCAAAATTTTTGGAATAATAATGTATCATGAGTAATATATCCATCTCAAAAAAATAAATCAAAAACTCTGATCGTGATACATTTATACAAACTAACACTACATATATCTGATACGTAATAACTATCACATGGTAATGTATCGATCTAAAACCAAACACCTTATGAGTAACCCTTACTATTTTAATGCATCAGGTAGGATTACAGTACTAAATAATAATGTATCATGGGTAAGTTTATGTACATGATAAATAAAAAGATTTTATGGACATGATACATGTAAATCTATCTAGTTGCTCTATCAATGTTGTGGTCTTCTACTTTTTCCGTTTCTTTTACTCTTCAGAAACTGTGAGAGTTCGAATTTGACATTTAGTATACAAGTATATAGTCAATGTCGATAGAGGAGAAAATGTCATAGAGGCGGCGGTGACATCAACACGAAGGGAGAGGCTGAGAGCCCTTAGAGATGCTCAAGAACTTCTTCAAACCACTGAAATGATAATAACAAGAGTAGCGAAGATATTCGTGATGTATCTTGTAATTTTTTTTTATTAATTATGAATCAAAATTGAAAGGATCTTCAATAGATTAGGAGAAGAAATTTGAATCTCAAAATTTTCAACCTCAAAATTTTTTAAAAATTTGAATCAAAATTGAAAGAATCTTCATGAATTGGGAGAATAATTTTGATTCTCAAATTTTTTTGACAATCTTCAATCAAAATTGAAAGGGTCTTCGATGAACTTGAAGATTCACAAAAGAAATCTTTTGTCCAATAACAATTTCATCACTTTTATATCATTCATAACTCACCTCGCTTACCTAAAATTTTGACAAAAGTTTTTTAACCAAATCTGATAGGTTTCTTTAGTGAGAGGATATTCTTCTTTTTGTTAGGATTTGTCTTTATATGATTCAAAGTAAGAAGAAACATAAGCATAGTTTATGAGATTTAATTTGATTTACATATTGTATTCCCTATTTTAGCACAATAAATTGATATTTCTTGTGTCAAAATTGATATATTCGGATGGTGACTTATGCATTGAAAAGGTAGAAACTTTAAGAGATTATTATAATCAGAAAAAAATAGTAATGGATGTAATTTACTTCTTTAATTTGGGGTCCCATAAGAGACACATCGAAAAAAAAACAAATGCCCAAACAAGAAGGTGAGTTTTAAGTCGTTCATCCATCCAAGTGGAACAATCAAACATACATCAACTTGCCACACACAATTAATTTGACGCCCCAACATTGGAGTAAAGAGGCACTAAGACCAAAAAGCAGCAGCAATTTTGCCCAATAACGATTGTCCAAATCACTCACTCAAATATACTTCTTTTGGGATAAAGAGTCGAAAAAAATAAACCAAATTGGAGTATCTCTAATAGACACCCATATTAGAGATCCTTTCTTTCTTTAAAGCTCTCTCTCTCTCTCTCTCTCTCTTTTCATCTGCCAGCTTGGGATTCGTTAGCTGACGGAGTTTATTACTCAGATTCTTAAGGTCCATTTTCTTTTCTTTCATAAAAATCCCATTTTTATTCTATTTGGCTTATCTCTTTTTCTTGGCAAAGTCTTTATTTTTTACTTGAACTTGTTCTTGTTTGAGTTTTTTGAACTTGGTTATTTGGAAAGGTTGCTCCTTTTTGTTTTTCTATTTTGTCAAGATTTGGTTTAATTGCTATCTTCATTCTTGGCAACTAACTCTAGGACAATAATTTGAAGTATGTGGTTTCTTACCTGAAGATATAATTGGTGACAGGTACCTACTGCATTATTGTTAAAAGAGAAAGTGGTCTTTTTCTTGGCCGAGTCTTTCTTTTTACTTGAACTTGTGCTTGTTTGACTTATTTGAACTCTGGGTTATTTTCTAATTCTTGGAATTGTTGCTCTTTTTTTGTTTTCATTTGTGAAGATTTGGTTTTATTGCTCTTTTCATTCTTGGCAACTCTAGGAAAGTATGTGGTTGGAGTTCTAATTGGTGACTGGGGCCTACTGCATTATTATTGTTAGAAGAGAAAGTGGTCTTTTCTTTCTCTTCTTATTTTTGTGGTGCTGATGGTGTAGTGAAATCAAATTTGAAGGTAGAGTTGTTGTCATTGCTATGACTTGGCTGACTATGTATGAGGAGCTGCTGGATATAAGTTGGATCAATAGTTTGTTTGTTCACTACGGGAAGTACTACTGTTGGAAGTAAAGTTTGATCTTCACTGTGGGAAGATTAACCTTCCAAAATAGGAGAGATTATATGTACTTGTCAAACAAAAAGAAAAAGGGGATGAGGTTGTTCCTGAAAAAGACCTGATTTGTTGAGTTATTCTTCAAGATAATGGATTCATTAGAAAAACTTGTCCATTATATGATATTTATTTCTTTTTAATCATTCTGATTCCTAATCATGTGAAAGTTATTTATTAGAAAAATGAAAATAATCCTAATACTTTTGGGTGCTAATGATTGATGGAAAAATCATGAAGAAACTATTGGCAGTATTTCATTCCAGTGTGTTTCTAGATGGATGGCAAATAGTGGAATCTAGCGAAGTTTTGAATTAATCTAGATGTTTTTGTTTTAGGTACAAATCTGTATTACTCTTTGGAGAGTCACTTATGAGCTATGTTGCTTAGACTCTTCAAAAATGTCGATGGGTGCGTGTCGGATCCTCCAAAAATAGTGTATTTCTGAAAGATCTGACACGGCGTGGCAACATTTTTGGAGAGTCCGAGCAACTTAGCTTATGAGGACTACCATATAGAAAGGCAGAGAATGTTCACATATGGGAAACACACTGAGCCTAAATTTTCCAGATCTATGCAAATTATATATCATGACAAGTGTTGGCTACATTAGATTCTCCATAGTGTTAAATATTCACGGGAAAACTATGAACTCCAGAATGGAGCTTTGAAGCATTCTTTAAGGGGTTTCACCTATGATGAAGCTCTAATTCTATGAGGTGCTGGTTATTGTTGAACATATATCTTGAGTTCTGAGTGAATTGGTAGTTTGCGGTGAAATTGCAAAAAGTCTGATGAATCTTGTCCCATTGAAATTTCTTAACTTTAGCTACCTAGATTGTCTTAGAACTCAAGAGCACCTCTTGATAAGATGTTACGTTTCTGTGTTTGATCAAAAATCTCAATAGCAACTGCTTAGATGTAAAGATGGAATTATGTAACTTTTATCTTTTTTCAAGAATTTGAAGGTAGCAGATTAGGTTACATAGCATCAAATAATCTTCTTGAGCATGGCAATATTCTAAGTAAATACAGAAATAGTCTCTATAATCTTTGCTGCAACAAAGATACTATTACATAATTAGGTCCTTAATCAGGATGATATGGCATGTGTCTTGGGATGTATTTTCATGAGAACTTTGCAGGATAAGAATCGGAACATGTTAAATCATTCTTTTTGAGGTCAAGTAGTCACCCACCATTAGGGGAGGATGGTAAGTTGATGTGGTTCATCAACTAAATGCTTGATGGTAGGTCATTTTACAGTCATTTGTTCATGGGAGAAGGTTCGAATTTATCCAAAAAGTATTCAATTTGTCTTAATATTTTCCCTTTCCCCTAACAGTTGTTCAGCTCGGCTCTAATATTTGTCACAGTGGAGCCACGTAGACCAACAAAAGATCCAAATTTACTCCTTAACTACTAAACTGGTTTAGAAATATCCTCTGTGATAATTTGAAACATACCCTTGCACAATTAAAAAGGTCCAAACATTACCCTTATGTGTCTTCCATTATATAAATCAAATTAGGTCAATTTTTCCATGGTTGAAAACTATTGGTGGATGAGATACATTCGAGATGAAAGATATCAGTGGGAGCTTTCATAGACTGAAAGGTAAACATGGGGAAAATGTAAGACAAATCACAAACCTTAGGGGTAATTTGGACCTTTTTCCTTTGTTCATTGAAGGTGAATTTAGAGCACCAAGGAAGGTGGCTTATTTTACGTGGAGTGCTATCTACTTAGACAGCAGACAACATATGCAGAAGAAGATATATAACCTTCAGATGTTGCTTCCATAAGCAATATGTTATGGATGCTGGCCACTTTTTGCTACATTGTAGCTTCACTTTGGAGCTTTGTGCTTTCGTATGCTCGGTTTCGATCCCTGAACAGCGGAAAGATGATGAATAGTTTGCAGAAACAATGGCAGGAAGGTAGGAGGAAGTGTATATGGAAAATTGCAGTCTCTGGGTCTAGAAGATCATTTCAGGGGGTTGAGAGTCATTGGCAAACTAAGTATTCTCATTTGTAAATCTTGCATTTATGACCTATACATGAATCACCAACTTGCAATAATGATTAGCTAGATTTTGGGAGGCTTAAAGCATATTTGTAAATGACAATGTCAACTTGGTGAAACATTTATAAATACTATTAATATATCAAAAAGGTATTCTTAGATAAAATTTTTGGATTAACCTTTGAGTGTTTTGAAGATGAGAGGCCTTTGAACCTTCATATGTTATACTTACCTACATAAGCACGGTAGGTTGAACGCCAGATGTGACAGTATCATCTCATTTTGTGCTTAAAACTACTGCTCAGTGGTTAGATTTATGTCAGACAAGTTTGCATTTCTGTATCTTAGAACTGGTATCAGAAGAATGTGTTGTTGCTGATTTTAAAGATTATACGGTGCTGAATTAGTAAGTAATGTGGGAGGTTCTTTAAATTATATTCAGTGCATGAAAATGGAGAAAGCATGAACATCAGAGGGACTAAAATTTAGATCCTATGGGAAGTTTTTCAAATTATATTTCAGTAAGTGAATCAATGAAGAAACCATCAGCGTCAAAGGGACTAAAATTTAGTTACAAATGGCCCGATGTGAACCGTAATCCAGAACAATAGAATTAGGCAGTAACCATGTTCTGGTATATCTTGCATTTTAGTAGTCTCTATAAATTTGATTTTGTTGGATGCATTTGATGAGAGCTTGAGGATTGTGTGCAAATCTATCATTATCTGTGAGAAATTTACTTTCTTTTAATTACATGCTTATTTCTCTGTGAAAACGCTCAAATTTTTTTACCTCTCCCTAGGAGATCCCACCCTTTTATTGCTCCCTTAGTGACTTGAACCCACAATCTCAGGGTTGGAGGTGGAGGGTGGCTACCATATGAGCAACCCCTCGTCTTCCTCAAATTCCTCTATAAAAAGATGATTGACTTTTTTCCCTAGAGTGCGTCAAGCCTATTTATATTCCACATCAATGTGATGCCTTTGGGGACTTTGCCTCTTATATCTTGATTTGATGTGTATCTTCATGATGCTTTATGAGTATTTGTCATCAAGAATTCTTGTTGTTATAATACCATTACTAAGACATCTTTTCTAATGTAAATTATCTAAAATCCTTATGCTTTCCATGACACCATAAGAATTCTTGTTTTCTTGGACAAATTCCTTAATGCCAAATTTTGTATGTTAGTGGAAGTCAAATGCTTAGTTTTGTTTAAAACAACTGAATGCTTTTTACTTGTGTCATTCATTGATGATGAGCATTTAGCTTCTCTGAATGCTAAATTTTATTATTCATCTAAACTTATTGACATTATTTTCTTTCTGTAGTCAATTTGACTGAATTCTTAAAGTAAACGGCTGCATGAAAGATTAGAAACTACATGAATTATGCTGCTCAACCTACTGCTTATAGACATTTATTTAAAATATCAGATACATCACAGTTGATTGTTTTGATAGATTTATTGGACAAATCATTATTATTCTAACTGTATCAAATGTATATGGATGGCAGAGTAAAATTTAAAGTTGTTGGTTCTCATTTTTATTCTAACACATATGCAGCCCGCTCCATTTTTTTATGTGTGCTTTGTTATTTCATACCACAGATGCACAGAATTTAGAAGGTTGAGACCATCATTTTCAAGAAAATAATAATTTATGATTGGGCAGCAGAAAGGAATTTTTGGAACTGTGGTATTAATATAAAGTTGGTTTTGGTTGTTCAATTTATGGGAAAAAATGAACATGCAGCCTGCATTATATATACCAAGATCTAGTGAAGCACAACATAGTAGCATGGGTGTCTCTGGAGCTATGCCTATGTCTTTACCAAGTTTGCCTAAGTTAGAGGAGAAATTTCCCAAATTGCTAGATGCTCTTCATGTTATCTCGGAGAAGGAGCTTACTACAAACCTCAATTCTCCACGGGCAATTTCATCGATGTCTAAGAGCGGAACAGTAGGGCATCTACTGTCATCTACTTTTGGACTCCACAAAGATTTTCACTTTTCACCTACCTCTTCTCAAGAAACCTGGACACTTTATTTTCCATTTATATCAAGTGGGGCTTCTATGTCAGCCAGCCAAGCTTCACACTCAAATGTAGATTCTATATCATTGGATGATTATCCATCGGGGAACAAACAGAATTCCTGGGGTAAAGATTCATCTCATGAGTTTCTTGCTTTTCCTACAAATGTTCCTGTTCAAAATGGCCAAGTGGAAAGCCTCGTCGGCGTTATGGCATCTGATGACCATGCTAAGAGATCTGATTGGCAGGAATGGGCTGATCAGCTAATTAACGATGATGACATTCTTGGTCTTGGTTCAAGCTGGAGTTATATCGTAATAGATGTCAATTTTCCTGATCCAGAACCTAAGGTTTGTTCCTTATATGTTTTGCTCTATTTTATGAAGCTAGGAAAAAAAGAGAAAGGAAAGGAAACTAATGGGAGAGTAAGCTGACTTGAAGCTGGAAGAAGAAAGTACTATTCCAAGGCACAAATGATATTATATCTTTCATTATGCTTGATTGCATCTCTAAATGGTTGTATGTTAAAGATTTTAATGCACATCAAAACATATTTTTGGTCAAGTAAATGAGTGTTTGCTAAGTTAAAATTGCATTCAGATAGTGTTGTAGTTGCATTATTTACCGTAAAGCAAATTGAATACGGACGTTTTACAAACCTAACAGCTTATTTAGCTCCAAATTGTCATCCAGCTTACACCAAGCTTCAAGAAGTAGAATACATCCATATTTGCTTATTAAAAATGTAGAATACATTTATATTTAGTTCTAAGTGAGGATTCCATCTTAGCATATTTTGTTTCGTATGTTCATAATCCTGTTGTATGTGCACTTGCTCCATTTGATTTCCTTGTTTTCTTTATTATGTTGAATTATGTACAAGCTGTTTTTACACCACTTTAAACAAGGCACTTACGTGAAATTTTATTCATGGATGATACCACCCAACATCATTTTGCTGTTGAATTTAAACTTATTTGTATATTCGAATTATGTGGTATTGTTACACAGAATATGCTTTAGACTTGAGCAAAAAAACGTGTGTTTCACATTCTTTGAACTCATCTAGTGTGTTCTTTGCAAGGGCATTATCCACATAACCTCATATCTGAGCAGAAAAATGTGTTCTTTTAGTAATCATTTCTGATTTTATGATATTAATTTACTGTTTCTTCATGTTCTTAGTTTACATAAGTTTCTAATGTTTATTTCAGCAACTGGGAGTTTCTGAGATCCCTTCTAACCAGCTGCAACCTCCTCCTCCTCCTCCTCCTCCTCCTACTTCATCTTAGAAAAGCTGCCCCATTGGTAGCCCATCATCTGCCACATCTAAGCCTCGTATGCGGTGGACACCAGAGCTTCATAAAGTCTTCGTAGAAGCTGTAAATAAGCTTGGTGGAAACGAAAGTGTGTAGCCTCTTCATTTTGAATTATCTTTTTCAACGGTTAGGAGGACTTAAGGAATTTGAATGACATAACTATATCTTAGACACAATTTTACTTTACAGAAGCTACTCCAAAGGGTGTCTTAAAGCTCATGAATGTGGATAGCTTAACTATCTATCATGTTAAAAGCCATTTGCAGGTATGATTAAACCTCTTATTTTCCTGCTGCAGAATCTGGTGATAGTTTCCTCACTTTATCCATTTGTTTCAATTTCAGAAATATAGGACTGCTAGATACAAACCAGAACCCTCTGAAGGTAGAAGTTGCCTCGTTGATTACGTGATAAGATTTTCCATAAATCAGGCATCATTGCACCATACTTTACTGATTATCTCAAATGCCACAAAAACATCTTTCATTGCGCATTGAGAATGAACTATCATGCTTCAGCTATCTGTTGGCGAAAAACAAGCATTAAACAATACACGACTAAAATAGCAGCAGAAAATACTTATAGGCCCTTTGCCATAAGTAGGGTTATACAGGGTACTTCTTTTATCCACACAGGAAGGAAATAAAGAGCTCAAAACCCAACATTATCGTCTCACGTCATTCTAAACGATATTTCATAGTAACTACATCTATTGTGCTAGTATTTCCTGCCTACCTTTCTTTATTCACGAGACAACTGACTATGTTTAATTTGCTGGTGCTGAGTAGATCTTTTTCATAGTTTCTAAGACATCAAAAATTGGAATTGATGAATGGACTTTCCTCTGCTTATTACAGGAATTTCAGAAAAGAAGCCAACTATCATCACAGAGATGCCATCTCTGGACTTAAGAACGTAAGTCATTACTCAGTCACTGTTGAAACATGTTACTAATACATCAATGATCTTAAATAACTGCTTATTTTGTTGTAAGAATAATAATGTTTACGCAAAAGAATTCTTCTGTCATTCTTAATTACTAACTGAATATCTTTGTTAAAAGATATCATTTTAGCTGCACACACATTCATACTTCTTTCCATTTTTTGTTGTTTGAATATGACTATTGACTAGTCAGGATGCTTAGGAGAGTAAATTATAATGTTTACAAATTGTAAGAAGAAAATAGTTCAAATTTAATACAGATGATGGTTAATTTTTACAACTTCGGCAGTTTATATGGAAATTTTGTGCATGCCCCTGTCATCGGAAACAAATATAAGAACTAATTTGTGTTACTTAGGGGGACTTTGTGAGAGTAGTTGATTTCAAATTTTATTCAGCTTGATAATTTCACTTCCTTGGAGAGAGTACTTCCTTTTTCCAGTTAAAATTGTACCTAATTATCAAATATTACTTTGGAATCTGATAACAGGACTACAGGGATAACAGAAGCACTGAAAATGCAGATGGAAGTGCAGAACAGCTTCATGAACAACTTGAGGTATGTGATTGATTTAAGACAGAATAAGTATTCGTGCACCTATTCTTGTTTTTCTTGTACCTGATTTTCTTTTCAATTGAAAATCAAGTGTTTGATAAAGTGGTTGCTAGACCAGATATATTGTATGGGCAGAGTGTTGTCCTGTCAAGAACTCACATGTCTAGAAAATGAAAGTAGATGAAATGAGGACATTGAGATGTATGTGTGGACATACTATGAGAGAGATTTAGGAAAATAGATATTTGGAACAAGGTTGGCCTCAACGGTGGACAAGATGAGGGAGGCAAGATAGAGATGGTTTAGCACGTGAAGAGGAGATGAATAGTTGCTCCAGTGAGGAGGCCTGAGAGGTTAACTATAGTAGATATGAGGAGAGGTATAGGTTGATTCAGTATTGAGGAGAGGTGATTAGATAGGACATGACACACCTGTAATTAACTAAGGACAACACCATTGATAGGAAGATATGTAGGTGGACGATTAGGGTAGTAGGTTAGTAGGTAGTTGAGCTTTGTCTAGTTTACTTATAAGAGTTTGTTGTTATTACTCTCCTAATATCTTATTTATCATTTTACTATCCTATTCATAGTTTTAGTATTACTTGTTTCTTTGCTTCGATTTTTGTATAACCTGGTGCTACTACTATTCTCTTCTTCATTGTTTTGCCATGACTCCTCCACTACTGTATTTGCTTTATATAATTTTTCTTATATTCTTACATAAGCTGAGGGTCATCGGAAATAACTTCTCTACCTTCACAAAAGTAGGGGTAAGGTTGCGTACACAACACCTTCTCCAAACTCAATTTGTGGGATTACAATATATTTTTGTTGCTCCGTTTGGCTTAGGGGTTAGATTGTCTTTTTCTTATGGAACATTGTCGTAGAATTAAATCCCTCACCCTCAAAGGAATATCTTTCCATTTGATTTCCCTACATATTGGATAAATGGTTGTATTGACATTACCACTTTCTCCCCAATATTGAATAAGAAAGGTATAATATATTGTGAATAATGTATTTATGTACTGAACATTGGAGTATTGATTAAAAGCTCTAGTATGGTGTCTTATCTGGATACTGAACAACCTTCAGGTCTCACCTCTTCCAAAATTTTGGATCCCTACAACTATTATTGCCTTGAATAAACTTTTTCAATAACCATGCTGAATTATCCTAGTTTTCTCAGTATTTTGGCCACATTTTGGTAAATTAGACATTTGAGTTTTTATGTTAGACTAGACTGAATCCTCCTTAGCTAATATCCTGCTTTAGAAATGTTAGGTGATATTTGTATGCTGGATAGTAAAAGTTATATGGTAAATCTCCCTGAGGAAAAAATACCATTAAATGGTGTTTGATACTTCTGTTAATATGTTATATAATATTATTCTTGTTTAGTTTTTAATGTTTAAATATTATACATTCTCCCTTTGTTTTTTCTTGAGGATTACTCAGAAACTCTATTACTGGTGTATATTTACTATTCATGGTTGTACTAAGATATATACATTTTACATTTGGTGGCACAATGCATCATTCTAATAAAATACCTCTTTTCTCATATCCAAAGAATGTTATAGTTGCGGATCGAAGAACAAGGGAAATACCTTCAAATGATGTTTGAGAAAACGAAAAACATGGGAAAAGAACTAAATGTATCATCATCAAAATCAGATGAACCTTCTTCACCATCCACTGAAATAAAGCTTGCCCCTCCTGATGACAAATCAGATGCACCAAAGCAGGATCATGTCAGCACTGAACTTAGTTCGAATGTTGCTTCAAGCCCTGCAGATGATCTCACTGAGAATAAAGAACGAAAATCATGTGAGAATCATGACTCAAATGGTAGAGACTTAAGTGTCCCTCCAGCCAAACGTGCAAAATCGGAGGAAACATCACCTTTATGACCTTGACACACTTTTTGTAACTTCGTAGAAGGAATAGTTGCAATATGAATTGTGGTGCCTATGCTATTGACCGACTTGTAAAATAAGATTTTGGGTTTAGGGTGTGGTTTGCATGACGGAAAAAATATGTTTCATGAAACATATCTTCTTATTTGTGTTTGGTTAGTAAGAAGAAAATATTGTCCGAAGAGCATTTAGGTATATGAGGCAAATACTCTGACACCAAACCCGGATCCCCACGTTTTAACACAATCATAGACCTCCGTCCCAATCCTGACCTCGACTAGGGACCTGACCTCCCACCTTGACCTTCACCTGACAGTTGAAAACCTACCACAATTTGGATCCATTGTTGATTAAGGACCTAAACTCGATCCTTATCTCGAATTGAAATCGGAGATTTGACCCCAATCCAATTCCCAACTTTGACCTTAAGTTGGGGTTGGGATTTGGATTTTGTTCACAAGTTAGGGTTGGTTTTGGGAGTTAGGTCTTTGGTCAAGACCAGGGTCGAGAGTTGGGTCTTAGCCTAGGGTTAAGATTTAGGTCCCAAGTTAGGGTCGGGTCTTGACATTGATTTAGGACCTAATTTTGACCTTGAACTGCGATTGAAGATGACTCAACCCCAAGTAAAGACTCTACCTTGACCCCAAGTTGGGGTTGGGATCGAGATTGGATCCTGACTAGGGTTGTGGTCAAGGTTGGATCCTTGTTAAAAGTTATGTCTCAGTTCCTAGTTTGTGTTTTGGAGTCGGGGTGTGATGCTCATTGAGGTTGGTATTAGGAGTCGGGTTAGGGTTCAGAGTGGTCTCTAGTTGGGGTTGGGTCTCGAGAGTTTTGTCTAGGTTGGGGTTATGAGTTGGGTCTTGGATTAGAGTTTACATGGTTTTCCTGATTGAGGTCTAGTGGTGAGGTTGAAAAGAAGTTTTGAAAAATTAATTGGTTATTTTATGTTGGAAATCATTTTTCTTAAATTGGAGAAAAGTAGATTTATTTGAAAAATATTTAAGTGAATCAAACTTTAGAGTGTCATGAACAAATATTTGGAGAAGTAATGACACATATTGCACCTTTGTAATAGGTAAGCCAATCCAATAAAACATACTATAAAATAAGGTAAATATGTGGAAAAAGTATTACCGTCAAGGCTCAATATCATGTCTCATATCAAAATGCTGAAGATGATAAAGAAAACAATAATATAACTACCCAAAATCAAGACGTCACGAGTACAAATCATTACCAATATCAAGTACAATTGAATGGTACGAAAAGTATAAAGTCAAAAATAAAGGAAGATAGAATAGATTATGTATAGCTATGAATCAACTATCAACTACTCTGAACGACACCCCTCAAACTAAAATTTTAGCCATATTGATAAAATGAGTCCATTTTGATTATATTTAATGGTTTGGATAGCTCATATTTAGGGCAACTTTCACATAGCAAACACAAAATTCACATTTATATACTATAGCAAAGTTTGCATAATTGTGCTCCATGGCAAACATATATATGTATAATTCGTTATACATATACAATTGAAACGAATTGTATAAAATGAAACAGAGAGAAATTATATACAATTTGAATTTTTATAAAACAAGAAAGAGAGAAACGCAAAAGAAATTTGGCAGGAAAATATTTGTATTGTATAATTATAAGTGTATTGGACGATTATATACAATTTGAATTTTTATAAATGAGAAAGAAAGAAAGACAAAAGAGACTTGGGCAGGGAATATAAAATTGAATCGAATTGTATAAAACGAGAAAGCGAGAAATTATATACAATTTGAATTTGTAATAAAACAAGAAAGAGAGAAAGGGGGAAGAACCTGGGTAGGGGAGTGTTTTTATTGTATAATTATAAGTGTATAGAACGAAAATATATATATTTGCATATGTATATACAATTTTCTCTTGCTTTATACAAACATAAACGCAATTTATACATTTCGTTTCTATTTGTATAAGCAAGAGAGGCGAGGGTGACGGGCGAAATTAGAGAGAGCAGTGAGTGATATCTGGGAGAGGGGAGAGAGGAAAACGAAAATATATGTATTTACACAATTTCCTCTCGCTTTATACAAACACAAACGCATTTTATACATTTGTGTTTGTATAAAAAGCGAGAGAGGCGAGCGAGACTGCCACCAAACGAAAGTAGCGAGCGAGATTCCACCAAGGAGAATGACGAAAATAGCTATAATTTGCTATAGGATACAATTAAGTCAAAGTATATTTATAGCATTTAATTTGAATTAATAGTTTGCTATTATATACAATTTTCCCTATTTTAATTGGTTAAATATGAGTTTCAAACTATTTTAAGAGTCTACAAAGATGGTCAAAATGAGTTAAATATAAATATTCATACTGACCCATAATAGGTCACTTGTTTTCACTTTCGCTCAAAAATTTTCTCAAACCCTGATGTGTTATCACAATAATACAATCTATAACTTTGATTCAGCCCAACTAATTTTAGATTCAGCTTTTAAACGAATAAATTTGACTTATCATCACCTATTTTTTCTCACTCTTACATTCTTTTACAAGAGATCTAAGATGAACTAGAGTTTGCAATCTCTGACGATTATGCATAAAAACATGAAGAAACAGTTTAACCCTAATCAATTTAACAATTAATAGAAAAATTATCAATACTATATCATAGATTGATCATCCATATAGTGCTCACCCCTAAAATTAACTAGTTAGCTACTGATCCTGAAAAAAGAAAAAGAAGTTATACCAAATTCCTTAATCATAGTAGCTTTGAGTTCAATTCTTAAGAAGAAAAATCCTCCAAAAATAATGAAGTATTTAATGTGTCAAATCTGAGTATATTATTCCAAGCCGGTGTAAGAAATTAGAAAAAATATATATATCTAATACAAAAAGTCTAGTCCATAATTCTTTTAGTCAATTTTGTTTAGAATATAAAATGATTGGCCATATATACATATTCTACTCACCAAACATGGCTTCTATGTAGACTACTCATAACATTAAAAATTTAACAAAGGACATATTTCAATCAACATTATTTGGCAAGACTTTTTGGGTTTTCATGCTTGGAATTTAATTTTACAAGTGATGTAATCACGTTTACTTCTTCAAAAACAAATAAATAATGATATGTTTTGACAGAACTCCAATTGAATGATCACATAAAAAACTCTGAGTATTGCAATTTTGTATGATGTACTCTTGGTGGAGAAACGTGATATATATCCCCTTCACGATGGTAGAATTATATATATTAAGTTAATTGATAGTTTTCGTGATTGCAAGTACAATAACTGTCACTTGATCGATGGATTTAGTTTTCACTTATAAGGGTGGCAAACTAATGAATTGAATTAATATGAGTCGATCGAAATTGAGTCAGATGAAAATGAATAAAATATTCTATTCGATCAATATATAATATGGATAAATATGGGCAAACTCCATGAATAATATGAGTATTCATATTAGGAAAAATTACATGAATTAATACATTTTTAAAAATAATTACTGATTTTAGTGATAGTTTTTGCTTATTATCATTTATAGCAATATTGTGATAAATCTGTAATGTGTATTAAAAGTGAATTATGTATGCAATATATTTGAATTATAATTGATTTTGAAATATATAATGTTTGTTTGTTAAAAAATTGTCACATTGTATTATAAGTGTATTAAAATGTGTAATAAGTGTATTATCCATCATTAGAATTTGTATTGTATTAGAATAATAATTTTTAATATGTATTGTACTTGTATTATAAATGAATTAAAAGTGGTCAAGTGAAAAGAAAATGTTATTGTTATAAATTATAAATATTTTTTTATTACAATATATTTTCTAAGTTTCTTTTCATATTACCTATGTCATCCCTTGCTTCTTATGTAGAGAAACATGTACTTCTATATCTAGATTTTTTTTCTTCTTCTTTTTGCTCTTTTGAAGGGTGTGTTTGGTATGAATAACTTTTTTTTCTGTTTATGTAAAATAAAATATTATTTTGAAAAATGAGTGAACCTTAATTAATCAAGGTCCCAAGGTCAAAATCAAATCTCAGATTATAGGCAACAGCTAGAGTCAAAAGTTGGATCCTAGATCTGGACTCGTTTCAACTCAGACTCATTTTTAAGAATGTTTGACAATTGTTAGAGCTAAGTAAGGAGACTACTTAGCAGATATAGTTAACAAATGGACTTCATTTACTAATCATATCAAATTGGGAAAAAGATTTAAAATATATCTCAATTTTAATCGAAATTGTCGTAACAATAACGAAATATGAAAAAGACTTTTTACCTTTGTACTATTTAATAATATATTTTAAAGGTATATGTGTGTCCATGTGGATATCATAAATATTGCATCATTATAAATAGTAACGTGTCCATGTGACCACATATATACATTTACAAACGTTGTAAAGTTTGCTTAACTCTTCACTTCATTCTTTTTCTTTCTGAAGTTTCGATGTAAAGAGTCCTCTACGAACGCATTTAACTCCATTTTATTTATTTAGAGGTTAATCGTACTTTGGCAACTTTACATAATGCAGTGTTTCGTTTTTTTGGGGGGTGATAGTGGAAAAGTTCTTATCCAAGACTTGTATCATTTGATGATGCCATGTGAATCGCTAGAAACATGTGAAGTGTATGGCTAACCCAATAACGAAAGTTTCGTAAGGGGACTGGAGCAGGCTACCACGAGACACATACACTATTAAATAGTTCAAAGGTAAAAGGTCATCTATAAAGTTTGATATCGTAACAATAATTTTGGCCAAAAATAAAGTATTTTTCAAACCTTTTTGCCTAAAAATTAAGTACGTCAATTAGTAGAATAATAAAACATGAAATTTATTGAATATGAGTCTTTAATAACCTTATTAGGAGTCCTTTAGTGCGAAGTAAGATAGTATGAGAATTGTTAGGCATACGCTTAATTAATTAATTTCTTCCCTTTGGAGGGTACGATGGAAAATGCGGAATTTAACAACCCTAACCTTCTTGGAATATGTGTCTAGTGGGTCGCAGATAATGCAAGCACTAGAGTTATCAAAATGAGTTAGCCCAACCCAATCCAACCCTAACGGTCTAGAGAGTTAAATGGGTAGAGGCGGACTGACCCTTTTAGTTAAAGGTCCAATAAAATAGCGCCACAATCCAGGCCTAAGCAGGCCACGGGTTGAGACGGGTTAGTCCTTCAACCAAAAAATGAACAATATTAATCTCTTAGAAGGAGTATCTAAGAGAATTGAATGTTGGCGTCTATGAACAGGACATTAATACATACAAATTTTCATTTATGAATCACACACTTCAGCGAATAATTACAAAAATAGATTTATGAATCTCACACTTCGGTGAATGCTTACCAATATATCTAATTTTTCAACGTAAGATTTAGCGAAAAATGTTGATCATTCAACCATTCCTCCCACAAAAAACAAGCTAGTTTAAAAGACTTGATTTTTATGCTTTTAACATATTTATTAATAAAAACATTTACAAATGAAACAATATATATATTAGACCCAATCCACATAATTCAAGGGTTGAGTTGGGTTGGGTTGGGCCGGCCTCAAGGGTCAAGCCCATTTTGACGGCTCTAGCAAACACCTAGTTTACAAATGCGACCCAATTCCATAACAACCTACTTTGTGGTTTAATCTTTGTAAGTCAGCCAAGTTCATCAGGAGAGTAAATCACTCCAAAATGCCCTAAGAACCTAATGGAATACTCAAATCGTCAATTCAGGATCACCTAGGCATATATTTAATCGTGATCAACTCTTAATTTTTGAATTCACTAATTTTTAATCTAAGGGTCTGAATAACTCCCAAGCCTTTTGTGGCTCGTCCAAATTATCTAACGAAATCCTAATCAACATTCAAACCTATGAAAACTTTTAAACCTCTCGAATGTTGACTTTGGTCAACTCTAAAGCTTTCAAGTTTTAAATTTTGATTTTTCTTTGCTCCAAAACATGTTGATGATGGCTCCATAAGTCATATATCACATATTAAACCTATGTAAAGTGTCACTTTGAAGAAATATTCAAAATAAAATTATTTTGGTCTTTTCAAAATTGTGCTTACTAGATACTACATTTGGTGGAGTGTAAGTGTAGAGGGATCGCAGTGGATAATTTGATCAAGTACTTTATGATTGAGGTTATTAAATGTCTCTCTCAAAGGTATATAATAATCGTCCAAGATCAACATAAATACGAATAGAGAGAGTATTGATATTTGTTTGCCAAACATTTTTCGAGGGTTAATTCCCTATATGGTAACTTAAATTTTGAAATGGCAATTTCAAATATCACTTTTGTTTCATTTAGGATATAAAT